ATTTTTATTTATTTCTTTGAGGGGGGTGTTGTTGTTTTTTAAATTAATATATTCTTCTAATTTTTTTAGACTTGTCAGTCTTTTCCAGCAATTTAAAAAAATATATTTGGTTAGCATGAAAACGAAAAATTTAATCAGAATTTAAAAAGTGTCCCCCTTCTTTCTTTCTTAAGCTCTACGATGCTGCTTTGTAACTGTTTTCTCTCATCATTCGTAAAAGCAGGTCGTCTTTGCGCAAAACAGGTGCCGTAATTCACGACGAGTTGCGTGGACATAGCCTGCCCCCCCCCCCCTTTTTTTTTTTTTAAACTCCCACAAAACTTGTAGTTCAGAGCCGCGGCATTGCTCAAAGTGAAAACGACGCCAATCAATCTTGACCACTTCCGACTGTTCGGCCTCAGGGCCAATAACTCTGTTCCTTGAAAAGTTGCGAGGTGCAATAAAAACGCGATGGATTTGCGTCACCCCCCGCATGGAGCCGCTAAAATCAACTCCTTAATTGTGCTCATCATGGAGACATTAGAGGCCAGCCTCCTGGGCGCGCAGTGCTCACGGTGGTCCTAAAGACCGTGACCAGTTGAGGGAAGTCACAAGAAACTGACTGTAAATGGAAGTCATAGTCATAGGCATAAGGGCCCTTTGTAAACATGTGGGTTATTTCGTGTACAAAGGAAAAAGTTGTGGGAGACTTGTATTCAAAGATCGTGAGCGGGTGTGGAAGTATCAATTTATCAGTCTGTTACAAACATACCGGCATTAAATATTTTTACGTTAATTAACGTTCTGTCTGAGTTTTTATTTTGATAACATCAGACATTAAGTAGTCAGTATTCTTTCTTTCTTTCTTTCTTTCTTTCTTTCTTTCTTTCTTTCTTTCTTTCTTTCTTTTATATATATTATATCTTTTTCATTCATCCATTCATTCATCCATTCATTCATTCATTCATTCATTCATTCATTCATTCATTCATTCATTCATTCATTCATTCATTCATTCATTCATTCGTGTATGTCTTCTTTATTTCTTATTTCCTGTCTTTCTTTCTTTTCCACATTTTTTTCTCACTTCCCATCTCCTGCTCATCACTTTGTGAAATTTTGTACGTCAACAAACTAACAAACACACACACCAACAAAACTTCGACGTAATGCAAAACTCATGCCCTTCCTAACTA